ACGGCACATAACAACAAACAACAAAAAACCCACTGGAGGGTCTGCTACGGGTCAATCCCAACTTGATGACACACAACAATAACAAGCAGGCCTGATGGTCTAGCCTGTGGGGAGTTGCACTACTAACACAAACGTGGCATCTCTGGTGGTTCTAATCCACCAGCGGCTCCGTTGGGAGAAAACTGAACCTCCAGAAGGCCCCTGGAGGGTCAGGTATGAGTTGGTTCCAATTCAATGGCAACGAGGCTGAGTCTTTGCCTTGGTGCATGGTAGTGCGGAATTGGATGAAGTACCAAAGACAGCTGCCCGCTGTGTTCCTTGGACCAAGAGAGAGGGTGTGGCTTTGCTTCTCTCAGTGGCTAGACTGGGAGGGGGGAGAAGATTGCTGAGAGCTGATTCAATAAAGCTGGTTCCAGAGCTTCATAGCATATGGCATCGGTCAGTGTGGAGAATCCCCCGCTGATGGAAGCTGGGGACCAAAAATAGGTCCTTGCATTCTGTTGTCAGAGGAAAGATAGACTTAATAAGTGAGGGAGTTTCTGAAAGAGATGTCCAAGTGATTCTGAGGAAATAGGTCTTTTGATTTGGATTCTTCTAGAAGCAGGCTTTGAAGTAAGGCTTTTAGTGTAAGTAGCTTATTTGAAAGTTGGTCCCAGAAAGGTGTGGGGGAAGTGAGACAGGGAAAAGGTAGCTGATAAAGGCCAGTCCCCACTGTGGACAAGTGGAGCTCAGAGCTGCAGGGGGCTCTGGGTCCAGGCAAAGTTACCCACGTTAGGGAGTGTGCGGGATTTATATAGACATTTGTCTGTATATAGTCAGTGGTTGTGGCTGTTCTCTGCACTGCTACTTCTCCAAAGCCTCTGACCATCACTTTTAAAGGCACAATGGAGTCCTGTGATCACAACAGGCCCTCAGGCAAAGGGAGGCAGCTTCTGGCATCCTGTAACTGGGTAAACTCTGAGTCTCCTCGGGTTTAGTGTGGTTTTTTTAAAAAATGCACTTTGGGGAGCTCTGGTGGCCTAGTGGTAAGGAGCTGCAACTATAATCCCAGAGGCGCACGGTTCGAATCCACCAGATGCTCTGCCGGGGAAGGAGGGACAATCTCCTCCTGTACCAGTCAGATCTGATTTGACGGTACACACACACACAAAAATAATAAAATTTTTTTGAGAAGATGGTAAAGATACAACAATAATTTTTAGTCCTAAACGCTGTTTTGTTTACTTTCTGTCAAAATATCTCCTAGTGTCAAATTCAAACTATAGTACTATGTAATTATGTATAAAGATTTTTTTAATTTATTTGAAATTAGACTAGGTATACATTTTTAAATTTAACATCTGGCTGGACAGCATTCTATTAACTCATTGAATGTGTTTCGTCTTGTATTAATAAATATTGATGCCTGACCGAAAAAAAAAATTAAATTTTTTTTTTTTTAAAGAGAGTTCACAAGAGTCCACAATTAAGATTGCATAATGGAATGTACTTGGGGCGGTGGGAGGGGTGCAGGGGGATTGTGTACCAGGGAAAGAGTGTTTATTTTACTTTTGAAAGAGAGGAGCAAACTTGCGGGGGTGGGAGGGAT